TAATCTTTGTTTTGTCCATGTTCATCTTAAGACCTATTCGTTTGGAGACACTATTGAGGTCATAAAGCATAATGTTAAGATCCTGCAGCGATTCTGCCATAAGGACTATATCGTCGGCAAATCGAAGGTGAGTGATGTACTCGCCATTGATGTTAAAACCGTATCCTTTCTAGTCCAGAAGCTTGAAAATGTCTTCCAATGCAGCGGTGAAGAGTTTCGGGGATATAACGTCACCCTGTCTTACAGCTCTCTGCAATTGGTTTCGTACTCAACTGTATCGTAGCCCTACTGTACAAGCACTTTAGCACTTCGTTATACCGACAGGTCAACTTGGCACCGCTTAAGGGACTGCAGCACTGTCCAAATTTCGACGAAATCAAAGGCTTTCTCATAGTCCACATACGACAGGTATAGTGGCAAATTGTCCTCCTCGGACTTCTGTACAACTTGCCGAAGGGTATATATGTGTTCTATGGTGCTAAAGCCCTTGCGAAAACCGGCTTGTTCGGGAGGCTGGAAGTCGTCAAGTCTGCGTGCGAGACGATTCGTAACGACTGTCGTAAACAACACGTTGACGCGGCTCAGAAGGAAAATCAGCCTGTATTTCTTCAAGAGAGCGTTGTCACCTTTCTTGAAGAACAAGACCACCGCACTTCTGCTCCACGCCTCTGGTGTAATGCCACCATGGAGGACGGAATTAAAGAGCCTCTGAAGGACTTCCAGTACCGGTTTTCCACCCGTTTTCAGAAGCTCCGCTGTAATTCCATCCTCGCCTGGGGCCTTGCCGTTTTTAAGATGCTGGAGAGCCATTCTAATCTCGTTCAGACTGACGTCCGGGATATCTTCGGAATAGTGTTGAATAAGACTCGCTCTTGGATCGTTACTCACACTTGCGTGTGGCTCCAACGATGACATGTACAGCTGTCCATAGAACCTTTCAATCTCACTCAAAATCTCAGGTGCCCCGGAAACGATGCTGCCACACTCGGTCTTCAGCTTTGACAGTTGGCTCTTTCTGGCAGACAGATCTCTAGCAAAGACTTTGAAGCCTTGGTTCCGCTCGATCGCTTCTTCAATACAAGCTGTATTGAAGTGGCGTAAGTCCCGCCGCATGCATTTGGAGATCTGTCTGTTCAGTTGCCTGTATGCTCTCAAATCTATTGAAGATTGGATCTTCATCTCCCGTCTAACAGCCATGAGAATAAGAGTGTGATCGGAGAGTTTTTGTGTTCTTCTGCGGCGGGTCTTGCAGAACTTAGCTCAAACCGCATGGACAGTTTTCACGAGCTTGTCATTCATATCGTCCACTTCATTGCAGACTTCTAGGCAATGACAACGGTTTTGTAACTCGAACTGAAAGGTTTTGGGACTGAAACAAAGCACGAGGGGGACGGAGCGTTGACTTCATTAGACGAGACCTCTCCAACTTAACGTTTAGGTTCAGTGTGCTTCTAACCATTCGGTAATCGCTACCAGTTCTCACCCTCGCGATCACGGAGACATTACTGAACAGTGATGTCTCGTCTGGTCGTCATAATGAAGTCAATCTCATTTTTAGTCGAACCGTCGGGGCTCGACCAGGTCCACTTCCTGTGAGGCCGCTTCTGGAAGAAAGTGTTCATCATAAAGAGTCCTTCTTTCTCCACGAAGTCGGCCAGCTGCTGGCCCCTTAGGTTCCTTTGCCCTATTCCAAATTTCCCTACTTTCAGCTCACCATTCTCTCTTGTGTCTAGTTTTGCATTGAAGTCTCCCATTAACACCGTATATTGGGTTTTGGAGGAATGCATGGCTCTAGAGATATCCTCATACATTTCCTCCACCTCCTCATCGGGGTGTGCCGAGGTGGGTGAGTAAACCTGTATGACCTTCAGCGAATACCGTTTGGTGATTCTGAGTATAAGGTACGCAACCCTCGTCGACACACTTCCGATCTTTACAACGTTGTTAACGAGAAACTTGTGGACGATTAATCTGACACCTCCTTGGGACAGATGGTCGCCCTCCCGGTGATAGAGTAAGTTGCCGGATTCGAAGATTACCGTGTTCTCCCTCTCTTTTCGGACTTCGGATAATCCTATAATATGCCAGCGTAACTTGTCTATCTCTTCTTCCAGCTCCACGATCTTCTCATCGGTCCACAGGGTGCGTGCATTGTACGTTGCCAGATCGATTCGTCTAAGGTGGCAACCAAACCTCCACCGGAGATTCTTAGCACCCCCTGCCCCGCCGTTACCATGGTCGCCACCGTAGCCAGGAATAGTGGGGCTGCCAGGGACTGGGGGCCGTCTGTTTGTTGCTTTAATCATTTGGGGGCTTTGCCATAGTTGTCACGCTTGGCGAGCGGGTTGGCAACCGCAGTTTTTTTTATTGTAATTTTGGCTATTACCAGGAAGATGCTGCTGCTCATATCCTGCCTGTTTCCCTTTGTGGCCTCCACAACTACCTTAGTGTATTTTAGTAGTCAAAATAAGATTATATATATATATGTGTGTGTGGGGATATTTCAAGAATTTGACACGAAACACTCACACAAACTACTCATTGCTAAATTATACACGGCTGTCCTGATCATTCATCTGACCCTGATGAATCGTCTTCCGGCGAAATCCACGGCTTCATGAGATCAGCTGAGGTGGTTGTATTAATCGGGCCTTTTTACCATAACGATCGTTCGAATTGCATTTAACAACTTCATAGGGTCCCAAGTACTTAGGATATAATTTTCTCCTTTGTGAGAACTGTGTCTTTCTTATAGCTACCAAATCAACCAATCAAAAATATTAAAGGGTATTGCTGACCTTCGCTTTTTATTATAGCTTTTTATGTTCTTTACTTGCACTATCTGTATAGATTCTTTGGCCTTCTTTCTGAGTTCCTCTCTTTTCAAATTAAAATTCTGTATGCTTCCTTCTTCTATTAATTTCTGAAGTTCATCATCTTTATCTCTCATTTTAGTGCCAAAAAGTAGTTCAATCATTCTTATTCTTCTTTCGTATGTTCCATTCAAACATCGTTGTCCTTTGGACACACGGCGATACCATTTAGTCGGGTCATTAGCACTTAGTTTGCTCAACACGGCGGTGATAATCTGATGGATGCGCTCAACTTGGCCGTTTCTTCTGGGTTGTCCGGTGGTAATTGTATAGTGTATTATATTTTCACTATTACAATACTCCTGGAAGTCTCTTGAAGTAAAAACAGCGTTTCAATCAGTAATAATTCTTTCAGGTGCTCCAAATGTTTGTTGTTGTAGTCTAACTTTCTTTAAAGTCTCTTCCGTGGTTAAAGTCTTAACAGAGTAAATCCATGTATATTTCATATAAGCATCCACGACGGTAAGGATATATTTGTAACTCTTGTGAGTCGAAGTCATTGGTCTTAGATGATCCACATGGTATGTCGATAGTGGGACATTACCTTTGTATATCGGGTGTTGGAATCCTTCTTTTTTACCTCTTTTGTGCGACATGAGAATGCATTCAATACAATTACTTATGACTTTATTATTTTTTCAGTTCAGTTTTCAATGTTATATTCCCTATCAATCAGTTCTTCAGTTTTTAAGATTACAAAATATCCTTTTTCGTGATTTTTTCGGATTATCTCATACTGCATTTTCTTAGGCACAAGAATTAATTTACTTCCAAATTTCTCTTTATATAGTATTTCGTTCTGTATGATGTAATCCTCTTATTTTTCTGTTTCTAATTTTTTTTTAATTAGTTTCACATAGTCATCTTCATTCTGTGTTTTCTTTAAGCGAGCTATAGTTTCAGTAAGTATCATACAGATGGGATATCTTCTCAGTGCGACGGCGTATCTCAATCGTGTTCCTGGTCTGTGTTCGATCTTGTAGTCGTATTCTTCTGGAAGCAGGCCCCAACGAGCAACTCTAGGTGGTAAGTATTTTTTTTGTAGTGTCATAGTAAAAGCAGAGCAATCTGTAGCTATTTCAAATTTTATCCCAAGAAGGTAAACTCAGAACTTCTTTATGGCAGCAATAATAGCTAAAATTTCTAAATAATAACTATGGTATTTTCTTTAAGCTGGAGTCGCTTTTTACTCATATAGTGCACGGGGTGAAATTGGTTGTCTTTAGGGCTTCTTTGTAGAAGAACAGCTCCATACCCGTCAGTACTTGCGTCGGTATGTAATTTTGTCTCTAAATCTGAATTGAATATTCGGAGAACTGGTAAGTTACACGATATTTGTTTCAATTTGCTTCTACGTGGTAGAGCCATGCTGCAGCTATATTATGGTTGTAGCACGAATGGGTCGGCTCGACCGGGGAAGTACCACGCTCTCACGGAAAACCAGCGTAAAATAGCAGCTTAACGCTGCTGTGTTTCGTATGGTGAGTGTAGAGAACCGGAGACCCTTTTTACTGGCAAAGAGGCATTCCATCTTAGTCCTCACGGGTGACTACGCATCTGCATCTTGAGTCTTTATTGAGGATAGATGTAGATGTCTATGGGTCATAGTAACCTCTTACCATCGGGTGGACTGTGAGCTCGTTTGTCACCCGATCCTATAAAAAAAATCGATAAAAGCTTTCTAACACCTTTCATCAAAATTGAATACAGCATCTTCCTTTAACAAATAGAGAATAGTTTTTTGTATACTTTCTGAAATACCCTGTCAGTCCAAGGAATGACCGCATAGATTTTATAGTGTTTGGCTTCTTGAAATTCGCTACAGCCTTAATCTTTTCTGGAGATGGTCATACTTCGTTGTCACAAATAATATATCCGAGATATTGGATTTCCTTCTTAAGAAAATGGCATCTCTTCCAATTAAACTCTAGACCGAATTCTTTGCTTCTTTTAAATACTTTCTCTAGCTTACTTATTCCTTCTTCTTCTGTTACCGAGGGTATGATCAAATCATCAAGGTACACTAGCAGTGTCCCATCGGTAATTAGATAGCTGAAGATATCGTCAATAAATCTTTGAAATACAGATGGCGCTGTACACAATCCAAAAGGCATTCTTTGAAATTCGTTATGGCCTTGGGGAGTGTAAAAAACCATTCTTCAGATCAAGGGACGTGAATATTTTAGCCTCCTTCAATTTGTCTATCTGGTCTTCTATTATAGGTAAGGGAAATCTTTCTTTAATTATCTTTTTATTAAATCGTCGATAATCTATACATATTCTACGTGACTCATCTTTTTTAGCAGCCAGAACTACAGGACAGGCGAAATCAGATTTGCTAGGTTTGATTATTCCTTTGTCTAACCATTTTACTTGCATATTCACGGCGTTCATTTCGAAAGGTGTCAAACGTCGGGTATTCTGAAAAACTGGTTCTTCATCGGTAAGTATTATTTTCAATTCAACGTTTCTTTCTTTCTTTTTTTATTAGGTTTGTACTCTTCACACATCTTACGAATCTTTGCCACGTATTTAGAATCTCTTATATCGTATTCTTGTTCATTGTCCTTTTCCTCCGTTAGAAGCGCAAGATGCATAATCTTTTGTATAAATACACTTTCAGGAGTGAAACACACTTCAAAATCTTTAAGAATAGGATATCCAATCAGTAAACTTACCAGTATCTGGTTGTCTTTCACAACATCAAACTTGAAATCTGTGTAGTAATTGTCAATTTGAACATGGGCCATAAACATTCCTTCTGTAAGAATTGGTTTTTCGACTATTCCTGTTATACACGTTGACTCTGTTTTCTATTCTTTAATTCCCTCTTTAACCTTCTCAAATTCTGATTTTGTTATGAGGTTAATATCGCTTCCAGTATCTATTAGAGCAACAAATTCTTTACCATTAATCTTTATCTTTTTGTAGGGCACTTTCACTTCTTCACTTTTATTTTTAATGTTCAGCATCTTCTTAGGTTTGCTTGTACATTCCGTTGATTTGTGAACAAATTCATTGCATTTAAAGCATTTGATTCCGTTTGTACAGGTGGGCAATTGATGATCCAGTTAGCCACAGTTGTTACATCTTTTTACATGAGTTATCTTACGGGTTAAATGATGCCCATGTGATTGGCCAGACTGTGCCGATTTGTTAGGCACCTTCGTTCTAAAAGAACTGTAGATTTCCAACTTCTTGCGAAAATCCTATATGTCTGTAGCACCATATAAAATAGCTTTATAGGTCTCTAGGACACGAATACCATCAATGACATACTCAAACAGCGCAGCATCTTCAACCTTGTCATAAAGTGCTAATTCTTTCAGAGACAGGAAATATTGTTGTTAAGTTCCATCATTCTTAATCTTACGCGATTCAAGTTTCTTGTGTATAATTGCGCTATTAATCTTGGGGCCAAATTCTTCTATAAGAGATTTTTTCAAACTCGCGTAGTCCTTTACACTTCCCAATTATCGTAAAAATAGCTTGGCAGTGCCGTCTAAAAGTCTCTTTGCATAGACCAGCTTTTCGATTTTAGTCCACCTCATCATTTCGGCAGTATCTTCAAATTCATCAATAATGTCTCAATTGGATAGGTTTCATCTCCGGTAAAAATGTTCATTGATTTTTCCAATTCTTTAAATGAAATCTGTATATCTAAGTCCTGATATTCATATTTATTTTCTTTTACATCTTTCTTTGGCAGCATTGTGGTTGACAAACTGGTATTACGTCATTTTCTAGTCGTGCAAAATAATAAATTATTTGAACACATTAAGTCTTCAGTCTTTAAAATAAATTTTCATATCCAAATTCCATAGCGGAATTTTCTGTTGAATGACTTGTTATAAATCTTCGAATCTTTAGTCTTCGTCTCATCTCAAATTTTGGCCATCCCGGACGAGCCCCAAAAGTTATGGGAATATTTCAAGAATTTGAGACGAAACACTCACTTTTATACTGCTTCTTTTATAAAAACACAATACATCTTCTTATATATTAATTACGATGACATTTTTTTGTATAACTGACATCTTACAATTTTATTTTCAGTTCAATAAACGAAGGAGATCAATATTCTACAATAAACAATAAAAACAAACTACGCATTGCTAAATTATCCCACATATATAATCTTATTTTATATGGAAGCAACATTAAGAAAATTCAAACTTTACAGTAAGTTATTTTGTCCAGTTCTTTTGATTAGGTGTGAGAAATCATAAATAAGTTTGGTTTCTACGGCACGTACTTTCCTTTTGCAGCAAAATGCTCTCGGCGTTTTCTTCAGAATAGCCATCACTTCTCTGTCCAATTATTGAGAGTTCTAAACTTTTAAAAATGGTCTTACTGAAAAAGTTTCTCCGTAGTATAATGATCTTAACAGACACTTATAAAAATGTTAGCAATTTAACCTAGTAAAATTAAAATGAAATAAAAATGTTAAAAATCAATTTATCAAGATAAGATACACGTTTATTTCGCGAATCCTGGCAAATTGTTATTTATCGTCTTTAATATCGTGGATTTGCGCAAAGTAACGCTTGATTCTATTAATTATCTTAAAATTTATGTGATCAATTATTTTAATACTAAATTTGCGAAATGATTATGATTTGTCGATGATTTGTTTGTTGATGATGATAACTGCATAATTTCTAGACTGATCAGATACTTTGGAGTTTCTTTGAACTCATCATCATCATCATTATCATGATGATGATAATGATGATTATGATGACTGCATAATTTCTAGACAGATCAGATACTTTAGAGTTTCTTTGAACTCATTTGCATGTATTCGTAAATATCTACAGGAATACTATTAATAGAAAGGAATAGGAAGAATACTATTGTAATACAATTTAAGGCTCCTCTACGGAATACAACTCGGCAATCGTCAGTTTTTTTTAGCCTACTCTATAGTAGGGTACAAAACAGGGTACATGGTGTGCGTATACGAACTAATATTAACGATAAAAGTAAAATTGTTTGTAGTTATACTGAACGTAAGCCTCAATGATCTTTAAACTGCTGTACACCCACACAGATTCCTAACTAGACAACGAGCTTGAGGAATCTCTTATCTTTTATCTAAAGTTACTTAGTTTTGTTTTCTACCATTGAATATATTCCAGTATTTATTTTCTTGAAGTCGCAATAAGTCAGCCAACATATAATTGAGTTTCTGAGACGTCGTAAGATAAGAGGCGTCCATAATAAATAACGGGTTAAGGATAAGTACCGTAGAACGCCGATTATCTGAAATAATTGGGACCGGGGTCAATTCGGATAGACATACATAGACTGGTAATAAGGAAAATCGAACTTTCACACATAGAATAAACTTTATTAAGTTTAACAAGCACAGTTCTACAATACGTAAGTAGTGCACTAGAGGGAGAAAGAGAGATCCTGAAATCGGATGTCAAATAGATCGTTGCTGCAGAAACTAAAATCAGCATTCTCAACCTGTTCATCCTTTGCCTTTGTCATTACTTGTCGTGACAAACTTCCATTAACAGATTCCAATGCAGTCACAAAACTTAAAATGTTTCACTGTTATTTTTAACATCGGTCATAGTAGCCGCTCGACACCAAATCTATCTGCCAGTACCTTTCCCGCCACACATTTTATAACTGATTGATTATTTCCACTTTGTCCTTTAGTGATAGGACGACACGTTTCCGTTTTGCACTCATTTTGGTTATTCGCTTATCACATAACCGTTTAAAATAGCGATCCGCACAATGAGAGCGGAAGCAACTCACTGAGAGTAATTCAATGTTATTAAGATGAAACAAAAAAAACAAACGTTCCAACGTTCCGTTTCACCGAAACCGCGCTATGCAAAACATGTAGTATCTTGCCTCCAGCTTTCAACCATAACAGTTGAAATATATCTGGACTCCAGGGAGTTCCAACTTGTTACAACAAAACAAAACAAATATTACATTACATACTTACAGTACTTGGTTTTAATTTTTTATGTTACGCTTAGGACCGATTCAGATCATTGGCGATTCGGTTAATCGGCGTTCGGATAATCGGCGTTCTACTGTACTGACTTTTAATAGTAAAAAAGAAGATTGAATCACTCATAAATGAAAGTAACAATTCTATACTATAAGTGAATATCAAAATTTCAAATGACTTTTTGCTCCCATTATATAACTTATCAATACTCGTATTTGTGGAGTCATGGACCTCCTCTAGTGTTTGCTCAGATTCCAGAGTATCTATAGTCTACGCTTCGTAGAGGTTCTCATTAATCTAATATTTGTAATCTATGTTGTTGGTAATCTTTTTATAATTTTTTGTTTGTAGTTTTGAATAACTGTGATAGCTCTTTTTTTTTCCTCATAGTTTAGATATTTTTTATGTTGAAGATCTGCACGTCTTTTAAGCAATGAGATAAAGCGCCAAATATATAGATAATTTTAAATTAGTTTTTTCAATATTTATTTATTTTAAATTGCTTAATTTCTGTGAAACATATTGTTACGCGCTTGGAATTCGAGACAATAAAAAACTGCCGAGTAATTTACCAAAATTGACACTAATTACAGAATTTAAACACTACTTTAAACTTTTTTACGTAGTAGAGCCACGCTGCAGCTATATTACTGGTATAATTGTAGCACGAATGGGTCGGCTCGACCAGGGAAGGACCACGCTCTCACAGAATACCAGCGTAAAATAGCAGCTTAACGCTGCTGTGTTTTTGGTATGGTAAGTGTAGAGAACCGGAGACCCTTTTACTTGAAACAAGGCATTCCATCTTAGTCCTCACGGGTGACAACGCATCTGCATTTTCATTCGTAATCGAGGATAGATATAGATGTATATGGGCCACAGCAACCACTTACCATCAGGTGGAATGTGTGCTCGTTTGTCACCCTTATGCTATAAAAAAATAATTACAACTTAAAACCACACTTATAACAATACACAATTGTACTACTGATCACTTTAGTTCGCAGTGGTTTCGCTTCAATTTATTCGCTTGTATCGTCAACTCAATACTAACCCCGGTTGCGGTCTATACCGGCCTTATATAGGGCCTCAGAGTGTTCCAGAATCTTCTACTGTAGAAACATCAAGAATGTTCGAGTACATACCGGTTCCTATTGACTAGGTGTCGGTAGTTCTAGAAAGTTCTTCCATGGAAATTTCTAGAAGGATCTTGTCTCTCCTAGTTCTGCTACTCGATACTAGAAGGCGCTAGTGGTAACTAGTGTCGTCATGTACCATTCATTAATGGTGACGCGCCACAATATTAAAACTAAAAACAATATCTATCCATCTCGCTACACCATATTACGTCATCCGTAAAAACGGCATAACTGAAGCTTCTGCCTGAGGTTATAGTTTCCTGATATATTGTTTC